CATCAATCAGCAAGTCATTTTCAGAACTTCGTTCTCTTCACGGCACGCCTGAGAGTATCCCTTTCTCTAGCCAGCTCTTCAGCCCCATGTGCTTTCATTGCCAATGCATCTTCAATGGTTTGAATCCATCTTTGCAGTGGTCAACCCCTACCTCGCCTTCCACAAACTGCACCTTCCATCACCGTCTTTTCCAAGCCGACCCTGACGCTTGATGTGGCCAAAATACTTTAACTTTCGGGACAGGATGCTGTTTATGAGCCGGTTCTTCCTGATGCTCAACTCGTTCAGAGTGTCGATGTTTTTCCTCTCCCTGGTCCATGGTATTCTAAGAATTTTTCTATAGCATTTCAATTTAAAAGCTCCAATCTTTTTCCTCAGTGACAGAGTGAGAGTCCAAGACTCACAACCGTAGGTTGCCACAGGAAAAAAGCTTGATCTCAAGATTTTGACTTTAACCAATTTACTAGTGCCTCTCTCTCTCTCTCTCTCTCTCTCTATATATATATATATATATATATATATATATATATATATATATATATATATACACACACACACATATATATATATATATATATATATATATATATAGGCTCTGTTATTTACGTTCAGTAGCTTGACCTTGTCTTCTAAACGATCATCTCTCGACACCAGTGTCAAGGCCAGCTCAAAGTGGTCTGTTGTCAAATCGCCCGCAGACGGAATCGAACTGCCCCCCGCCCTCCGGAATTATACAAGCTTCGTTTGCAACACCTGAACCACATAGGCCGGCATGTAGTAGCAGTCGATCAAACATGGAACTTGTCACGAACTAGAGGTCAACAAGTATTAAAGGAACGTGGGCAACATTTAAAGAACAAAATTGCTATCAGCCATAGTACGTGATGATGATGATTATTTTAAATATTCGGTGATACCTTTGCTAAAGTCATTAAGGAAGAAAATATGGACGTTTGACCTGAAATGCTATAGATTACTAAAGTCATTAAGGAAGGAAATATCGACGTTTGACCTGAAATGCTATAGATTGCTAAAGTCATTAAGGAAGGAAATATCGACGTTTGACCTGAAATGCTATAGATTGCTAAAGTCATTAAGGAAGGAAATATCGACGTTTGACCTGAAATGCTATACATTGCTAAAGTCATTAAGGAAGATAATATGGTCGTTTGACCTGAAATGCTATAGATTGCTAAAGTCATTAGGGAAGAAAATATGGACGTTTGACATGAAATGTAATAGAAATATTCTCATTATACCCCGGAATTAATTTCTTAAATATGTAAAAGTCAGTGAAGAATTGCTAGTTAACGGCATCTTGTTTCGGAAACTGAAAAATTTTGGCCAAATTAAGCACCACGACGGAAACAATCAAAGCAGAAAACTTTGTAGCAGGAGCAAGGGGCAGGGACCGACCAACACGAAGATGGGTACAGGACACGAGTGACACATTGGGTAGGGAAGTAAACGTGGCGGGAGAGATGACGATAGATCAAGTGTAACCCCCCGCCGCCCCCCCCCCCCGCACCCCCTCCCGACCTCTCTCCCCAGAGAGATGGTGACGATAGCGATGTTTTGCAAACAACCTGCTCCATGATGATGATGAACTTATCTAAATGTCACTTAATAGACTACTCTGTCGGCTCTACTGGCGACAGATGTTGTCGAACGCCCCAATAAACAGTGAAGAAAGAACGAGAGTTGTTGAGAAGCGTCACATGTCCAATCATTTAACAGATTGTGTCGCTAATCAATGATTTATATTTTTGTTCACGTGACCACGCCCTTGCCTATGTAGGTTACACAGACTGATCCAGCCGCTTTGTGTGGTCTAATTATAACTTTTTTTTTTGGGGGGGGGGGGGGAAGTTGAATGGGGTATCTGGGATCTGCATTGGTGGTTTGTTGTCGAGAGTGAGTTTTTTTTTTTACTTTAGGAAGGTATTGTAGACTTTTAAGTAGCAACTTGGAGGGGACACATTATTCGATTATTCGATTAATCAAGACCACGAAGCAGACTAAGAAGACGGTGTAGAGATAATATGCATGCAGACCTACAACCACTTAGTGCAGTGGTTCTCAGCCTTCGTAATGCCACGACTCATAGGTTCCTCGTGTGGTGAAAACCGCCAACCATACAATTATTTTTGTTGTTACTTCATAACTTAAAAATATATGTGATTTGCGATGGACTTTCGCGACCCCCGTGAAAGGGCCGTACGACAACAAAAAATGGTCCAGAACCATCGGTTGAGAACCGTTGACTTAGAGCAATCAACTTGAATGAGAACTCCAATCACAGAGATGAATGTAAGTGATGATATCAGCAGCAACCAACCTCAAGGACTCGAGAATACTGAAGGAAAAGAAAAAAGAAGAAATACAGTTTTTCTGTATAAATTGGTCAAACATGAATTGATCCATACGCTTGCGTTAAAATCTTCAAAACAAAGACACAATCAGTGGACTAACCATTCAAACAACCAATTAATTAAACTGGTAACGAGCCAGGCAACCAACTATAACTAACCGACTAACACATTAACCAACCAATCAATCAACTAACAATTCAACCAATCAACAAACAAATAACTAACAATTCAATCAGCTGACTTTCAAACCAACCAACCAATGAATCAAAAAATAAAGGGGTCAACCAATCAATCTATCAACTGACAAATCAACGAATTAACACAACAAATCAATCAGCCTACTTACCAATCACCCAATGAATTGAACAACAAACCAGTGAACCGACAAATCAGTTACCTAACCATCCAACCACACAACAAGTTATCCACCTTATCAATCAGCTAGTTAACCAACGAATCAATCAATTATCCATTCAACTAATAAACTAGCTACACCATCCCTCAACCAACCAGTCAATCAATTATCTAATCAAGCAATCATCCAGTCAACTAATAAACTCACTAAACCATCACACAACCAACCAATCGATAAATAATCAACTAAAAACTAACTATACCATCCCTCAACCAACCACATAATCAATTATCAAATCAATCAATTATCTTATCAATCAATTATCTAGTCAACTTATAAACTAAATAAACCATCACGCAACCAACCAGTCAATCAATTATCGAGTCGACCTATAAACTAAGTAAACCATCACTCAACCAATCAATCTTGAAATAACAATCACTCAAACAACAAACTAACTTGCCACCCACATGATCAACCAAACAGCCAGGTAACCAGACAACCAGTCAGTCGATCAATCACCCACTAATTAATCAGATGCGAATGTAACGATTGTGTATAAACTTCTCCTTCAATGCTTCTCCTACAGGTCAACCACAACCAACAAGGGAACCAAAATGTCTGCCAACAGCAGTTCACCTAGCGTAGGTTCCACAATGAGTGCGGACAGTGGGAACACCACAATGGCTACAAACAGCACGGCCACTATGATGACCACAGAAATATCGATAGCCCTAAAGTTTCTCCAGGTCGAAGAGACTCTGGACCAGCTGTTTCTGGTCATCATGGGCATTTTTGTGATGAGTAAGTAAACTTCATATTCTCTTTGAATATTCACTTATAGAAAATATTCTTTCAGTTGAATTGATGTGTGTATGACAAGCTAGGTGTTGTTGCTTGCGTTCACCAGCTGTAACCCCCGCGGAAAGACGTGGTTGTTCGTCCATTTCTGATGATGCTTATTTGTATGCAGACACGCTAGATGTTGTGAGGGCCCTTTGGGAGCACGTGAATATTGCGAAGGCACAAATAGATCATTATGGTCTGAGGAGAATGGTTCAACGCTCAAGGAAAGAACGAGACAGATAAACAATCAGACAGTTATTGGTACCATCAGAATTGTAACTCTTCGCTTGCTGCTGAAGATGAGGGACAGAGCGCTTTTTAGAGTGTCCCGGGTGCCGTGATGTCGATTGTTAATTTAACATTCAACATTCACCACTTAAATATTTTCGTTGTCATTATCATCTGCACGTGTGGGTTCTCTGTTTTTCTTTGTTTCGTCATGTGTATCACCACCGCCATTAATATCACAACCAACACACCACCATTAATATCAAAACCATCACACCGCCATCTTGATAATTATCACGTTTTTTAGAAGATCTTTTTTCTGAATTTTTTTTTTTTTTTTTTATGCTGGAAGTAATAAAATTAAAATGTGTTGCGTGTCCTTTACAAGACTTTGTCGAACCAGCCCCAGTCGTGATTGTAACTGACTCACAAAGCATGTTGAGAAAGGTGGAAACGGGCATGCTGCGTACAGAATGGCAAGTATCACTTCAGAGGTCCCGTGTGGATATTTTCTCCAGGTCATGCCAGTGTGTTGGGAAATGAGCAGATAGACTGGCTGGTTGAGGTATGACAAGCTAGATATTGTGAGAACCCTTTGGGAGCGAGTGAACATTGCGGAGGCTCAAAGAGATCATTATGGTCTGAGCAGAACGGCGCCGCGAGGAGTTACCACGGGATCTGACCGACGCTCGACACTCAAGGGAAAGGCGAGAGGGATGTACAAACACTTATTGGTACCATAGGAATTGGAACTCTTCGCGTGCTGCTAAAGATGACTGGGCGCTTATAGTAGTGTCTCGAGTGCTGTGATGTCGATTCTTAATTCAACATTCAACATCCTCAAGCATTTGATGGCTGTTTTGGTTTTGCTAGAAAATGTTACACTCAATAGTTTATCATTGCTACTGAACAGTTGACTCTCGGTACTTCTGTCGTAATGAACGCTGCCAAATTGCCCTTAAAATTACACTCATGAAAAAAGCTGGAGCATAAAAATATTAACAAAATCATCACTCAAGCCACTTTCTTCTTCTTCTTCTTCTTCTTCTTCTTCTTCTTCTTCTTCTTCTTCTTCTTCTTCTTCTTCTTCTTTTTCTTCTTCTTTTTCTTCTTCTTCTTTATTTATATAAGACATGGTTTTTATTACGTGAAATGTAGCGGCAACTATATTTTATTTGAATGATGTTATTTCAACAGCGATGCAAACTGGCTTCGCCTTTCTGGAAGCCGGAAGTGTCAGAAGTAAAAACGCCACCAATCTTCTCATCAAAAACCTGCTAGATGCTTGTAAGTATTTAAGTTAAGGCACAACATGTCTATGGCTACAATATAATAACAATATGTGCCCACTGGTTAGCTAGTTATGAAGACGACGGACTGTGGTCAGTAGCAAGGAAGAAGGAGGAGGAAACACATAAATAACGAGGCGTAGAAGAAAATAAACAGCACGTGAAGAATAATAATAATAAGGATGAAATTAAAAAGAAAGAAAAGAAGAAGTAGAGGAGGATGTGATGATTATGATGATGATGAAATGATTTAGTCATATGTTCAAAATGGAACAAAATCAATCAGTAGCTAGAACGTACTACATGGGAATAGCAGTCAAGAGGCCGATCAAGAAAGAGATGGGTAGAGGGAGTAAAAGGGACACTACAGAAACGCAATACGACATTAACACTAGCTGAGCAACACGTTTTTTTAAAGAAAAGTAAGTAAATTAAAGGACCCCTTTTTCACGCCTACAGGCACAGGATATGAGTGTCTCCCTGAGTATGAAAGTACATGAGGCGGGAGAACTGGCGAGAGAACGAGTTTCTTTCATGCAGACTGTGATGAGAGCGACGTTCTGCAAAGGACCTGCTACATGATGATGATGAGTGCCAGACACATAGGGCTAGACTTATATTTCATAGACCAGTCTGACCTTGGTTAGTTGTGTGGTGAACATCACGCCAGTCGCCTTTACTTCCCAGGACTATACCTGGTACCTATGTAAAAGTGCATCGCCCTGGGAGCCAAGGTAATTTAACTAACAGAAGAAAGAAACCACATGCAACGTCTCATTACGTATATGTTTATTGGACGGATCAACATCCTGGCATATAGGTGTAACCCATAAGTGCTCCGTGCTACTTCTAACTTAAGCCTGAGTTTGAAGAATCTCAGCACACTGCACGAACTCCGTTGCACCGGCGAGGATCCTGAAATACTTTGAATAGATTTTTAAACTCTAAATGTTACCTGGGCAGCGCCGTAAGGCTACTTTTTCGATTCCAACTGCCAAGGGATTTTTTTAAACTCACGCAAGAATACACAGGGGCGTCCGATCTCACTACCCAGAGACCAGGGTAAATTACTAGAAGTCCACGTAAAAACTTCCAACCTTCGCCGTGGCTTGAACCTGGGACCTTTATCACTCGAGGCGGACACCATACCTCGAGACCACTCAATCCCTTGCAGCTTCTCTCTTTGTTGCAAACTAGCTTGGTTCGGGCACGTGATGAGACATGGTTCCATTGCAAACATTGTACTTCAAGGAACATTCGGGGTTAGTCAAAAAAGAGGAGGGCAAAAAAGAACCTGGAATGAAAACATCAAAAAATGAACAGGACTTATCGAGGTCGCTTCTCGGCCTTTTGGCTAAGATCAAACTTTAGCTCTGTTGGCTAAAATCAAAGTGTAGCTCTGCTGGCTAAGATCAAAGTGTAGCTCTGCTGGCTAAGATCAAAGTGTAGCTCTGCTGGCTAAGATCAAAGTGTAGCTATGATGGCTAAGATCAAATTGTAGCTATGATGGCTAAGATCAAAGTGTAGCTATGATGGCTAAGATCAAAGTGTAGATCTGATGGCTAAGATCAAAGTGTAGCTCTGTTGGCCAAGATCAAAGTGTAGCTCTGATGGCTAAGATCAAAGTGTAGATCTGATGGCTAAGATCAAAGTGTAGATCTGATGATAAGATCAAAGTAGATCTGATAACATTACTTGTATGTTCTAATTACACTTCAGTAACGTCTTTATCTCCCACAGTCATTGCTGGAGTGGCCTACTGGACCCTCGGGTTCGCGTTTGCCTTCGGCGAAGGGAACGGGTTTATTGGCTGGCACTACTTCGCTTCCTCCGGTCTTCCCTTGACCAAGATGGCGTTTTTCTTCTTCCAGTACGTGTTTGCGGCCACGGCTGCAACCATCGTCTCCGGAGCTCTGGCTGAACGGTGCGAAATGGCTGCCTATTTCATCTACAGCTTCGCCATTACAGGTAAGGCACTCTCTCTCTCTCTCTCTCTCTCTCTCTCTCTCTCTCTCTCTCTCTCTCTCTCTCTCTCTCTCTCTCTCTCTCTCTCTCTCTCTCTCGCTGCCTGCCACTATCAAGAAAAGATATGAAACCAGTGGCGAGGCGTGATTAGTTTGCATGTGTAAGAGCGCTAGCAAGTAACAGTTACATCGCAGAGGGTATTATGTTATGTTTTTCTCCTCGTCGATTCGCTGTTCAGTACATGCGTGCGCAGCCAACATTGTGAGCGGTCCTATTCACGTTTCATGGTAATCTACACACTGGCCAACCTTTCATTCATGCTTTCTCAGTCTGCTCTATGTCGGAGAGGTGTCACGTTGTCTTGCCTCCAATTACATCAGCGCCTGTCTGTGGAAACTAAGGTAAGATAAATGACCAGCTAGGCACACCTAAAAAGATGTTATTA